TGTATTTCTCTGTTCTTTACTCCACAAGAGGTCACTAATGCAGCTCTATTGATGATAAATTGTTTGAAGTTCCTCATTTGTAAGTCGCTTTAATGATAAAAAAGAGTGTAATAAATAACTAAATGTAAGAAAAGCCTTGTAGAAAGCAGATGAGTGACATGAGAAATGTTGCAGAAATTGATCTGTCCATAGACTTTATATTCAGTTGTTTTGCTACAAAACATTTTTTTTTTTCTTCCTCATTTGTAAGTCGCTTTAATGATAAAAAAGAGTGTAATAAATAACTAAATGTAAGAAAAGCCTTGTAGAAAGCAGATGAGTGACATGAGAAATGTTGCAGAAATTGATCTGTCCATAGACTTTATATTCAGTTGTTTTGCTACAAAACATTTTTTTTTTCTCCATTTTTTTAAAGTCAGAATGCACAATACTGAATGGTTGTCAAATGAGAATTATGTCTGTTGATAATAGTGTAGTTCCAACATCTACCAGGGGATCACTGGAACTTGATGTGCTTTATCATTTATGAAACTTGTGCTGTTCTTCTCTTGAGATGACAGTTGCATTGAAAACATGATGTGCTTCTTGTTCAGTGATTCAAAATCAGCAAGGGTATTATTATCTGATTAAAGACAAAACAGCAGCAGCAGTGCATGGTGTCAAGCAGTTTTGGACAAGCAAGTTAAAAAGTGTTTCAAGCTAAACCTCAAACTCCTCTTTCAATAATGTTTATGTTTTAAGTATAAGCTTATGTTTTAGCTTTTGGTTTTGTCAATTAAATGGCGCATCAGAGCTGCTTTGGAACATCTTATTTTCTTATTTTTATTTGGCTCCATGTATGAATCAACAATGCAGTGATATAACATTTTTAGATATACAGTATGAAAGGCAGACAAGATCAGTTATATTTCAGCATGCAAAGAGATAGAGGAACATACACTCATCACAATTCAATACAATTTAATACAATTAATTGTATTTAAAGGGGTCATATGATGCTGCTAAAAAGAACATTATTTTGTGTATTTGGTGTAATGAAATGTGTTTATGCGGTTTAAGGTTCAACACTCCAAAGAGAAAGGAAAAATTGAAATCGCATCATATGACCCCTTTAAATAATTAACTAATTTAATATAGTATCAGTTATGAGTTATGCTCACAAAGCATGGAACTTGGAATTTAATTGAACTTAATTTAATTGAATTTCAGAAAGTGAACTACAATTATGAAAGACTTTCTGTTAAAGGCTTGTTCTTTACACATATCTTCAGAAATGTAGGGGGAAAATATGATTTATGATATGATATAATCAAGTTTCTTATTGACTAGGATTTTTTGGCTATGCTTTGAGAAAATGCCGTCACTCCACTCACATACTTTATTTTGGACACATACAAAACGTACAGAAAATGCTGGGTTGTTTCAACCCAACTTTCGGTCAAATATGGACTAACCCAACCGTTGGGTTAATTTTTTTAATTAAAATTTTAACCCAAAAGTTGGGTTAGTCCATATTTGACCCAAAGTTGGGTTGAAACGACCCAGCATTTTTTAGAGTGTAGATTTCACATTGTCCTTATGTTTTACATCAAGCTAATAATTATTTCTAGCAGATAACTGCTCAGAACTGCATGGCTGCTATAGCTGCAATGTAATGATATTCCTAAAACATTCTAGTGAGTGATTATTCTTAAACTTCTGCAATTAATTTGGCCTGAAGTGCTTAATGCACAGACTTTTAGTAGATCATATTAGTCTTTTTTGCTCTCTACTTTTGTACTTTATAAGAAATGTAACATTTAACATTGACTTATTAGAATCTTCAGTATTCAAAATGTAACAGCAATGATATTCAAATGTTAAACTGCTATTAATTATTTTTTTACATGCATATTGAATTGTGATTGGCCTTGTCCTCCTTGCATTTATACTGTACAGTGATTGCTCTGATTCTTGCATGCATCAGACTTGTTTTCTTGCTTATGAGTTTAATATTCTTATTTTCGTGTACAGGTTACGGAGCATAAAATAACAGCACTTTCGGGTTTTTTTGTGTGTGCTTGACATACAGGTTTTCTGTATTCAGTAACTGACTCCTTTATACTTGATATTTTAGTGCTTAAAGCTCAAAAAGTTATTTATTTCCTTATACATTTAGTCATTGATAAGTGTTTGCATAAGGCAAAGATTTCACTCACTTATATTATCTTATGAAATATAACAGTATAACTTCAGTTCTGCTTTGTTAATTGAATGGAAATTAAGAAACTTTTCGGCTTTTGTATATCAAAATTAATGCAATACAATACAATATAATACAATTCTTGCTGTGTTTTCAAAAACTAAATGCTAAGTTACTGCAAGTTAGGTACTGTTACTTGTTTTTCAATGTCCTATTATTGATAATGTGTGATAGTGTATGTTTTGATACTAATTACTGTTTTCACCCCTTCAGATGTGTTGCCCAATCAAACCAATGTCAGACAGTTATAAAATAACATTATTAAATTACATTTAGTCATTTAAGTTTCATTAAAATGACGTATAAGGAACTTCACAAGCAGTGAGGCTTTATCCAAACAGTTTGTCATGAGCTGTGTGTCCGAAACCGCTCCCTATCCCCTATATCGGGTGTCGGCCATTTTGTAGTGCTGTCTGAATTCTGAGTGAACGAGTTCATTCCCTACATTCGTTCACCCCTTTCTGATATAGTGCACTCAACTGCCATTATATAGGGATTAGTGAATGAGTGAACGAGTGAACGAGTGAGCGATTTCGGACACAGCTATGGATAAAGCTGTAGAGGACGCTGCATTAGTGACCTCTTGTGGAGAAAAGTATAGAGAAAAATACAAAGTGACAACAGGCAGAAATTTTTGGAAGCATGCAGTAGGCATGTTGTAAAAATACTAAATTACCAGCATTTTAGTTCCATTCTGTTTCTCAAAAAAACCTATCACATGGCTTCAGAAGCACACATTCCATTTACATTATTCATTTTCATTTAGCTATAGCACACAATTCATATATTATATACTATCCTTAAATGTTTAATTTTTGTTGCTAGACATAACACAGATCTTGTCCATTTTTGAAATTTAACTTAGAATTAGCACTGTTTCTTTCCAGAAGATTTACCAAGACGAGAACCACAAGGCTGCAGCCTACTCAACACACTCAAAAAATATGTAAGCCTAAATTTAAGATTTATTTGAATTGCATATAACATTTCCATTCATTTGGATTACAGAGTCTTAACTAATAAACTTAACATGATGCATATTTGGCAGTCATGCATAGATGAAACGGGTAAGAAACAGGTAAGTTTAGTACTAATAAACAATGTATTTTAAATACACAATAACCAAGTTTGCCAAGATTGAGACTCAATTTGAACAGGTTGATTCTAGGGCGCTATGGCAGAGTATGCAAATTGTAACAGAATATAAACCCAGATCCTCTTCTATAATTAATGGCAATGGTTCCTTAGTTAATGATTTAAATATATTTTATTTATGATTTGAGGCTAGTAATGTCAGTTCAGATGGGGAAAATGTAAAAGATGGGATCTTGAACTTGGTAAGAGAAAATGAAGATCTGGTCATTACTGAAATGGATGTTAGAAAAGAACTATACAAAATTAACATCAGGAAAGCATGTGGACCAGACAATATCCCTGGACGTGTATTAAAAGTCTGTGCTAGTCAATTAGAACCAGTTTTTACAACTATTTTTAATCGTTCTCTTAACCAGGGGTTGTTCCCAGAAGTTTTAAGTCTTCAATTATTATCCCAGTCCCTAAAATCCCTTGTCCTGCCTCTCTGAATGACAATCATCCTGTGGCCCTCACTTCTGTAATAATGAAGTGTTTTGAAAGATTGGTCAGAGCTTATATTTGTTCCTCTCTCCCCAGTGGTCTGGATCCCTTACAGTTTGCATATAGGCCTAATAGGTCTACAGATGATGCTATTAACTATATTTTGCACTCTGCTCTTTCACATCTGGATCAGGGGTAAGGGAACTATGTGCGGATGCTTTTCGTGGACTATAGCTCTGCTTTTAACAGTGTTGTTCCCTTAAACCTCTGCAAAAAGCTTCGAGATTTAGGGCTGAGTTCTTCCATTTGTCACTGGATCATGGACTTTTTGACAGGACGCCCCCAGGTGGTTAGAATGGGAAACTACTCCTCCTCTACACTCACCCTCAACATTGGAGCCCCCCAGGGCTGTGTCCTCAGTCCTGTGATTTACTTTCTTTATACCAGCGACTGCATGGCTAAACACAGTTCTAACAAACTGGTGAAGTTTGCTGATGACACCGTGGTTTTAGGCCTTATTAGTAAAAACGATGAGAAGGCCTACCCTGAGGAAGTGAATGCTCTCTTCACATGATGTCATATTAATAATCTCTCTTTGAATGTCGCTAAGACTAAGGAGATGATTATCGATTATGGGAGGAAGCAAGTGAGGAATTACAGCCCCTTGACGATCGGTGGGGCCACAGTTGAAAGGGTGAGCAGTTTTAAATATCTTGGAGTATATCTCACAGAAGAACTTTTCCGGGAAAATGCATATAGATCACCTTGTGAGGAGGGCAAATCAACGTATTTACTAATTATGACAGTTGGCTAGGTTCAAGGTCTCACAAAAAGTGTTGAGGACTTTTTATACTGGAGCCGTGGAGAGCCTACTCACAGGGAGTATTATCTTCTGATTTGGAAGTACAACAGACCAAGATCAGAAAGCATTGACTAGTTGTAAGGTCAGCACAGAAAGCCATCAGGACCTCGCTCCCTGACATCAAAAACATTTATATTCAGAGATGCAGGACCAGGGCTAAAAGAATTATTAAAGACTTTTGTCATCCTGGACACAGTTTACTGTTATTGCTCCCATCAGGGAAGCGATACCAGATTTTGAGAACCAACACAGAGAGACTGAGAAGGAATTTTTATTCTCAGGCAATCCGACTATTGAATAAGGACACTGAATGAGTCTGCAGACTTTTATTAGTATTAAATATATAATTTGCAGATTTTGCACTGTATTGATCTTATTTATGTTTATGGCTTTATATATTTTTCTTGGGGGGTTCTTGTTTTTATATTATTGTTGTTAGTATTTTTGCATTGTGGGATGAGAAACTAGGGAAAAATCATTTCACTACATTGCATCACATGTATATGTAGGTGACAAATAAAGAACCTTGAACCTTATGTGTTTATCATCAATAAATCCAATTGGTTTCAATCTCATACATTGTAACCAACTGAGTATTGCTTGATCCACAGCTAGCCATATTTTAACCATGTTTATACTTTTTAACTGAATAAATGTAATTTTCACAATGAACATGTTTGTGCTGGTTCTCAGCTATTTGAATTCATGCATTTCAATAATGATGCCATGATCTGACTGACAAATATGCATCACATTAAGCTTATTAGTTTGTTAAAAATGTGTAAGCCAAATGGGCAGAAATTGTATATGCAATTCAAATATATAAATCTTACATTTAGGCCTAAATAGTTTTTTGAGTGCACAGCAGTTTCATATAGGATACTTAAGCACTTAAATAAAAATCAAAATGACAGGATACATAATTACAGAGCTTCAGTTCAATCACTGGAGAAAAAAAAACATTTTTAATCTGAGTAAATAAATCCAAAAGAGCCTTGTTTTCTGTGCATATACATAATAGACCTTGTTAAGCATCACTGATGGAGGTAAATTATTTCTTTTCACAGATAAACTTCCACTTAGAATTGCAAGAACTATCAAACCAATTGTTTAAATAGTTGAAATTGTTGTTCACAAGTGCACAGTTTTCTCCAGTGAGATCCAGTTTTTTCCAGTTATCAGGTTCACTTATCTCAGAATCTCTCCCGTGCCAAAACCTTCAAAAGCAGAAACAGGCGATCAGATATAAAATAATATTCTACCTTACAGTAATATTTTGTAGAAAACCAAACTGTAGCTTTTGTAAAATATGCCATTGTTGCAAATATTTTAATGTTTGAGTACCATGACGAATGATAATAATACATTTGATTAAAAAATATATATATATTTTAAATATATTGCTAAACAAATAATTGCAGTATTTCTTACAGTACTCCAGTTTCATTGAGAGTTTGGTTATTCACCCAAACCCAAAGTCCCTCAGTGTCCAGATCATTGAGACCAATCCAGTACGTATCTTTAATTTTAGAGGCCAGAAACAGCTAAAAAAGAAAATGTACATTTTTCAAAATCTTCAAAAGCTAAAAACACAGAATTTGTAATAATACACTTTTTTTTATGCTTGTGCATTTTGTTAAAAAAAAAAAACACAACAACAACAGTGCAATTCTGTTTCTGAATATTGTGTTTCAACAGATTAAAAATATAAAGTTCTTTGAGTGCACAACCAACAGTGATTACTTAAAAATTTCTCACCTGTTCTGTTAGGCTGGTTATGGTGACCAGATCAGCTCCTTTTGAAACACAGAAAGCACGGCTGCTTGACCAGTCCATTTTATTAGAGCTGAAGAAGTACAACTTTCCATGAAAAGATGTCAAGCTCATATCACAGTTCAAAGACTGAGCTGTAAATGCTGAAATAAAAGCATATGAAAATGTATCCATTCTTCAGACCATGACATACTTGAAATAAAAAAAAGTGCAGAAATGTTCAAACTCTGTCTGAAAGGGTCTGGAATCAGCTCACCTTCATAAAAAGACAGTTGTTCTCCAACTATGCTGTAGTTAGCTGCAAGCTCTCTCACCATGACTGGTACAGACAGTTATGAAAAAAAGATAAGTAAAATAAGTGGTTGGAGAAATGTATTCCAAAGACTGACTTGTATTTACTAAACAAAACAAATAGGCTAAATCAAAGCTGGCTCAGAAGTGGTACTCTTTGTCCAAGTAGGACTGAAACTAACATAACTCACTATCGTTAATGCGGAGATCTTCTGTAACTCTGGTGTAATTGGCTCGAAGTTCCTCAGTCTCTCTCACCATGACTGGTACAGAGGAAGTTATGAAGAAAACAAGAAAAAAGCAGACAAAGTCAGTCCTGTAGTCCTTTCTCTTTATGCACTATTAATGAAACTTTGCTGTATTGAATGAGTTAAAAATTACTGGTGACATTAGTTTCCTGGGCAGACAGCTTCACTGAAACACTGACATCTGTTTAAAGACAAAATATAAGCAGTGATGTCACTGATACATCTATATGTGTTATGTCCACTATACTGTATTTATTAGTTATACTCACACAGTATACTCAGAGCACAGAGACCTCCAAGAGCAAAAAACAGAGAGACAATCAGAAGAACTTCTGTCCATTTAGGTGGACAAAATCTTTCCTGCTCTTCAGTGGAGTTACCTGTGGTAGAAATTTAATGAGACAATTATTTCTGAACCCTTGAATCAGTACAGAATTTCTGTCTGGAACTATGCCCGAATTTACATTTGGTTAATTTCTGTATAATATATTTTTTAACAAAATAAATTTTCAACACCTGTGACAGCTTGGCCCAACCAGACAGTTTATGAATTGTACTCTTGTACTGAGAACACAGTTTAAAGTTTGTTAAAATCTGCCTTCATCATTGTCGATTCTTGTCTGAATGTATGCCAGTGTCATTTTAATGCAATCATTGTTACCCAAAAGATGTGAGAAAAGTACTGAAATTTTAGTTGAAAGGATAAAATTCACAAGTATCATTCTATTTTAAGATTACTTTTATAATTTAATAGATTAGGTAATCTCTTAAAATTGACTTGGATAATAATCTTGTAAAAACTAGCACCGGTTTCCCTAAAGTTCTATGGTGACACACATACGAATAAAATATCACTTTCCTTTGGAAGGCTTCACAGCATCATGAAAACATGAACACTTATAATCTGCCCACAGGAAATCAAATGGCAACTTCACACCCGTTCATACATCACTGTTGCTTTAGGCAAATATCTAAATCTGCTTTTGACAGATCTATATATTTACAACAGATTCACAGATTTAAAGCTTATTTCACATTCAGCATTACATGTGAACTTTCTGCTTTCTTAACACATGACATTGGTGTTGGTAGCAACATGCTTGACTGTCTGAGATTTGTATTTATTTATTTACATGACAGTGTCGAGGGTTCAGTTACCCAGGAATGCATAAATGGATAAAATGCTGTGAGCTGTACCACTGACGGCCTTCTCATTACTCCACTTCATCTCTCTGACCACTTCAGACCACTTCTCCAGTCCACCTTCATGTTCACCACTGACTCGTTGTCTGGTCTCCTTTTGCTGTAACCTCTGCTATCTCTCCGCTATACATTTCTCCTTTGTGGTCTCTACCTCCCTCCCACAACTAACCACTTTTCTTCTCTTGATGTCAGTGTAGCTGCTGACATTCTCTGCCTTGACAATACCTGTCCTCTCACCCCCAGGCCAGCATGTGCAACACCCTCCAGCCCCTGGCTTACAGATGCTCTCCACAATCATCAAACCAGGCTCGGGTCTGCTGAGAGGGAAGGGATCAAGACTAAAAATCCTAAGAAATATCTAAGTAGTGTGCGATATAGCATACTAGCCGGGACAACTTCTTTATGTTTACAGACGTGACGTAATGACGCAGCGCCATGCTCGAATTTCCCGCTCGAATTAGCCCAAGTCAAAGCATATATCAAATTATTATTTTTTTATATCAATTATTAATTGTTTTATTTCTAGATAAATTAAAGTAACGAAAACAAAAAATGTACACATTAAAGCCTATTCGTTACTCATATGAATTTAGTAAACCTATTTTTAGTAAATATTATTTTGTTAATGAAACAAAGGCTTTAATGACAACTGCTACAGGAGATCTTACCAACATTGTTACCTGCTCTAACCCACATCAAAACATCCCTCACCACTGGCAAATTTCCCACAGCATTTAAGCAGACTCGGGTAACCCCACTGCTCCATCCCACAGCAGGTGAAAACTACAGACCAGGCTCTCTTCTGCCTTTTCTATCAAAAACTCTTAAAAGAGTCGCGTTCAATCAGCTCTCTGCTTTTCTCTCCCAGAAAAACCTACTTGACGAAACCAGTCTGGCTTCAAAAGTGGACACTCCACCGAGACCACCTTGCTGACCTTTGCTGACCTTTACTGAAACTCTTCAACTGGCAAGAGCGACCTCCAAATCATCTGTTCTTATTCTGCCTGTCTGCAGCCTTTGACACAGTTTATCACCAGATCCACCTATCCACCCTTGCTGACCGAACTGCTGAGATCATCGCAACCTTTTCTGCAAGCACTTAACCACCCCACCACGCCCACTCTTAACTAATGCGACACATAAATATTATCTGCATATTTTCTCCTCTTCTCTATAGCCTGCTTCCTAATCTTGTCTAATAACCCTGGCATTGTGTACTACGAATGTTGTTGGCTCTTTGACAGAATTACTTTGTTCCTCTTTTTGTAAATTGGATTTGGATAAAATAATCTGCTAAATGCAAAATGGTCTGAAATAAATAAAGCATCTCCTAAATGTGTAATTGTTTAAAAAAAAACAAAAAACTTTTTATACAGTTACTACAGTGATATAATTACAAATTGTAATGAATACTGATAATATCCCCATCCTTACCTTTGTACTGAGAGTGTATTTCATCTGAATCAACTGTTGAATACATGAAACTAGAAGTCTGAAAGACTGAGTCCATTTCTTGAGCCTGACAGAAGACGTGTCCACTGAGACTTGAGTGCTGCTTGAGATTGCGGAGAATAAGGAAGTCACATAAAGTGTCATTCTTATTAATACAGACAGGACGTTATGTCTCAATAACAAATCTGTTTGAATATGTGATAGTCAATAAAATATTAAATGAAATAAGGTATAATTCTATGTATGTTCTGTCCTTTTGATGTTAAAACTGACTGCAAGAAGAGTGATGTGAGAGCTATCAAAACTAGAAGCTTTTGTTTTATTAGGTAAATCTGCTTCATAAATCCATTAAAAGTCAGAACAGGAGATATGCTGCATTTAGTTGGGTAAAAGTAAGCAAATCCAAATCCAATTTTGTTCTGCACATGTAGGGGAGAGTGGGGTAAGTTGAGCCATATTTTACTTAGGTGGTCCTAATAAATAATGCATGCTGCCGTGATCAAAAATATAGTGTGATCAGTACTGTACATTCAATCACTCGTCTCACGTTAATAATGATCAAATAATTACTGTTGCCAGCCGAAGTGTAACAACAATGGAACAGAAGTACCACTAACGGATCAGGGGTAAGTGCCGTATTTCCTTTAAGAAATATCCAAAAACACTTACCTCCTTTATTGTAGGTCCTTTCCTGATCTCTGGCGTGCTTTTCCTGGTTCACAGGGAGAATCCCCCCTTCGCGGACGGGCCCACAACTGTTAAAATAAATTGTTTGAGAAGATTAGATCAGGTTGAGTGATGGAGCACAGATGCGGGTACCCGGGACCAGAAGGACACAGACACAAGAAGTGTGGTTTACTCAAGGTTCAAGTCTGTGAGGGGCTTATTTATATAGGTAACAGAGGAAGTGAAACTGTTAACTCAGCACATGCAAGGAAATGGAACGATACAGCTAAGGAAAACAGCTATTCTAAATAATTTCTTGTGATTATGATGTAATGCTGGTGCATACAAAGGGGTACAAAGAGTCACAGGGTGTTATAGAATGTCACACACACTTTGCCCCATAGTTGACCTTTTTGAAAAAATAGCTACCAAGTTAGGCTAATATTTAGCTAATCGATTTGTATTGTTAAATCACCTATAAGCATCATAAATATTTTTAGACCTGGATAAATTTGCTTTCAAATACCAGCCATTGCATCTGTTATGCAAAAATTTTACTTTGTCAAGCCAAAAAGTTGGCACCCCATAAAAAGATTTGTGCTGGTTTGTGCCGTTAAAAGAAACCCTGTAACTATGACCGCTTCTTTTATATAATAAAAAAAAACTTTTATGAACAGTGACGTCACTCTCCACCCCATGCAATCTAAATCGTTCCAAAACGGTGGCATTCGTTTGTGCTCGATTTGTGCTGGTTTATGACGTTCAAATTTACATTGTATCTATTTCCCGTCCTCAGAAATAACAAATACAAAACGGGCCAGTGACGTCACTCCATAGTTTTGGTGATTATTTCTTTTTATGGGGTGCCAACTTCACGGAGGTGTCAGAGATCACAATCACCCGAGTTCTGAGCACGCACACCTGACAATCAGCACCAATCAGCACCCTGCACTATAAGAGCACACAGTTCATTCAGTCACATTGTCTGGTTACCCGCCTGTTTGATTCTAACTCGCCTGTGTCCGGAGTCTGACTTCCCGTTATACAGTATCACTGATATAGGTAAATTAATATTTCTTTTCATAGATAAACTTTTTCTGTTGAAAGTTGCCTTTCTCATCCTCCACACTTGCACAGTCCTCTGCAGATGGATCCTGTTTTCTCTCTGCCCCTCTCTGAACCAGAACCTTATAGACACAAACAAGCAATAATGCCTTTGGTTAAGGTAAATAAAGTAAAATGAAAATAAATAACTGGTGGTTTTGCAACAGAGGTAATCACTTAAAAAAAGTTAAGACAATTAAAAATCGATTCAAAATGACAAACTTTACAAAAAAAAAAAAAAAAAAAAAAAAAAAAAAAAAAAAAAAAAAAAAAAAAAAAAAAAAAAAAAAAAAAAATTAAGAAAATTAAAAATCGAAAAAAAAAAAAAAAAAAAAAAAAAAAAAAAAAAAAAAATTTTGATTTAGAATGGTGCTGACCCAAAAATATAAACTAAGAACTTAGTCCATGATGTGAAACAAAACAAACTTGAGCATGACATGATACTAAACAATGACCTGACACATGAAGCAACATACAGTACATGCTTCAATAAATAACAAAGTAAAGCAAACATGAGGGCTTAAATACAAACACAGGGGTAATCACATGACAAACAACCAATGACAAAATGGGAATGCTAAACAAGATAAGGCAAATGAACATGAATCAATGAGAGTCCAGAACTAATAACACAAAAGACCTGAACAGAAACCATGAACAAAAACCTAGACTGATATGACACCCATCACCTGTAAGTCAAGTTCTTTGCTTTCATTACACTTAGGCTACATCTAGTATCAATTCATTTAACATTTTTCTGACTTGCCTGTTCTGTTTGGCTGGTTATGATGACCCGATCGGCTCCTTTTGAAACACAGACATCTCGACTGCTTGACCAGTTCAGTTTATCAAATACAGTTGAATAAATACAGCTTTCCATGACAAGCTATCCAGCCATCCACAGAGAGATTACAAGACTGAGCTGTGAATAATGAATAAATTAAACCTTTCATTATTTTTTTATCATAAAGTTAATCCCACTGGTTCTATGTGCAAAAATATTCTATCACACTTTGTATGCAAACTGACACTCACCATCGTAAAAGGACAGCCATTGTTGTAGCTGGCTGTAAGATTTAAGAACTCTTTCTTCATAGGTGATGAAAAGACAATTAAAAAGGAGAAACAAGCAGCCATTTTAGAGAAATGAACTCAAAAAAAAAAAGCTGACTTATTAAAAAAAAAAATTTAAATGTCAAATAAAAGCCAACTCATCATTAAGCGGAATGTGCTCTCTAACTCGTGTAATTGGCTTTAAAGTGGAAGTGAAGCAATCAGTCAAGTTTACATTATTTAGTAAACTGATTTCCACTTTAATTAAAAATTATATAACAAATATGATATCCAAGTTGAGTTCTCTTTCGCGCTGTCCAAAAGCTGTAACAAAACATCCTTTTTTTCTTTAAAATGGTTACATTAATCATGTTATTATATATATATATATATATATATATATATATAAAAAAGTGGAAATCAGTTTACTAAATAATGTAAACTTGAGTGACTGCTTCACTTTAACTTTAAGTTCCCTTTCAGTCGGTCACTCTCGATGTCACGTTGGATGACCGACGAATTGGGATCTCGCTTAGAGAGACCGGATGG